AAAAAACCGCATAGCGGAGTGCTTAGTACTCGACGAACGGGTGGAAAGATTATGAACTTCTTCCCCCAAAAAAAAACCAAAACAAATTCTCTGGCACAACTATTACCATGACCATGAGGAGGAGGAGGCGGACGACGACGAGGAGGAGGTACGCCCTGCAGCCCAATGGTAAAATAATGAATGATGATTGCTCCTCCCCGTTTTCTCCAGACAGAGCAGGACTGAAATCAGTAGCCTTGTCGTCGTCGATCCCTCCACCTATCGGTTATCCTCCACGTCAGCATCATCAAATTCTATCCCCACTCCTTGTCATCATCATCATCCCACCTTCACTCCTCCTCCTCCTCCTCCTCCTCCTCCTGCTCCTCCTTGTCGTGGAGGTTGTCATCCTCCTCCCCCTCCTCATCAACGTGTTTGTCATGTTGCCTTCTCCTCGCTATATTTCCAGCTTCCACTTCGCGTCCTCCATCTCCTCCTCCTCTTCTTCCTCCTCTTCCTCCTCCTCTTCTTCCTCTTCTTCCTCCTCTTCTTCCTCTTCTTCCTCTTCTTCCTCCTCTTCCTCCTCTTCCTCTTCTTCCTCTTCTTCCTCCTCTTTCTCCTCTTCTTCGTCAATCATTATTTATTATTCAGGAATTAATCCGAATTATCATTTATTATTTATCATTTAGGGTTAATTACACGCTTCCCTTCTACCGTCTTCACCCGAATAGAACGTCCTGTCCCCGCTGAGGAGGACGGGAGCGTGTAGTTAATGCGCGTGTAATTAACCCTACCGTCTTCCCGAATAGAACGCCCGGTCATTATCACATTATTATATAGCTGTATTTGGGCCACCTTTTAGCGTACATGCTGTGATAACGACTGGGCGTTCTATTTGGGTGAAGATGGTAGCGATCGCTTGTTTCCTTCTCTAGCAAAAGTTGTGCTTTCCTTTGATGCTAATATTTGTGTTCATAACCCCCCGGCCCCCCACCCCCACAACCCCCTTCTCCCGCACCCCTCCCAAACACGCACACACACACACACACACACACACACACACATACGCACACACAGAGAAACACCCCACCACCCCGACCGTCGGAAATTTATTATACGCCCTGATGTTGGTTTTTACAACCCCCCCCCCCCTCCCCCCCCAATTAGCTTATTATATGTCCCCCTGACGTGATATCAATATCCCGGCGGGCAACTTGTGGTGTTATTCTTTTGAGTGCAAAGGGCGAGAAGAAAAACTTTGACGTCAACGTTAAGAGGACCCCTCGAAAGCGGGCGAGCCGAAAGTGGGGAATTACGGATAAGGATCGGATTGTCGGTTTTTTTTTTTTTTTTTTTTAATTTTAGGATCGGATTGTGAGACTGAGCTCGCGGACTAAGCGTTTTGCCAACTGGCCTTAGCTCAGTTGGTTTTTTCACCCCTGAACGAACTGTTTATATACAATTGTAGTAGTAGTTTCCTCATTGAGAGACTGAGCGCGGACTCAGAATTGTAGTAGTGTACTCATCTGAGTTCGTTTGAACTCCAGGAGACTGAGGGCATACTCACACTAGGACTTTCTCGGATGCATATAACTGCTTTTCCGACCCGGAGTAGAAGCACCTCACTGGAATTACGACCACAGAGAAGTGGAAAAAGTCCTAGTGTGAGTATGCCCTCAGATGAGTAAAATACTAGTACAATTTTGAATTACCTATAGGGCCGGTCAGTCGGGTGATGATATCTCAAGGCCGGCGCCCTTTAAAAAAAATAATAATAAAAAAAAAATAATAAAAAAAATGAGGAAGTGTAGTCAGGGAAAGCTTCTTACCTTCTCCTCTCTCAGATGGTCTGCACGGGGGGATTTGATTCGTATCGTATTTTTACTTTTTTTTAAAGGATAAATAAATGGGCCGGGAGAAGCAGTTTTGCGGTTGATGAGAGAAAATAAAATAAATTTAAAATTGTGGGTCGCCATTTTCGCCGTCGATCTTCTTGTGGTCCCAGTTCTCAGTACCCCCTGACGTGGGGCCGGGTGGGGACCAGGTAGGGCCGCATGGGGACCACGTGGGCCAGGGTGGGGACCACGTGGGGCAGGGTGGGAGAGCGGGTGAGACGAGGTGGGACCAGATGGGGCAGGGTGGGTGGCGTGGGACCAGGTGGGGGAGGGTGGGTGGCGTGAGCTCACACACCTCCCGAAAGTGGATAAAATTGGTAATGGAAGTGGATAAGATCGTAATGAAAGTGGATAAGATCGGTAATGAAATTGGATAAGATCGGTAATGAAGGCGGAT